TGTGGGGAGGTGCATGTGGGGAGGGCAGTGAGCATGGCTGAGGCCCAAGCCTCAGGGGAGCCTGCTGGGGCCTGGCCGGGTGTGTCAGAGCCAGTGGCCGCAGTGGGCTTTGTGTGGCCTGCCTGGCCGTCCCCTCTTGGACAAGGCTCAGGGCAGCCGGGCCCCTAATTGTCCTCTCCACATGCCAGATGTTAACAGACATCTGGCATAATTCTCCATGTTTGTCCACAAGGCCCAGAGGAAGGACAGAAATAGGAATCCCCAGCAGGGCGGGAGTGGCTTCTCCGGTCAGGCAGGGGCCAGGGCTGCGTCGCCTCTGCTGGGACACAGGGCGCTGGGCTGGCCGCAGTGTGATGCTTGCACAAGTTAGGGGTGGGCGGGCCAGATTTTTGCTGCTCTTGGGGTCTATGGTGTGTGGTGAAGGTGACCGGCAGGGGATGCCTGGATGTGGGGAGTGTGCAAATGTGTGAGTGTGCACGTGTGTGCCTGTGCATGTGTGTGCATGCCTGTGTGTGCATGTGCATATGTATGTGCGTGTGTGTGCGTGCGTGTGCCTGTGTGCCTGTGTGTGTGTGCACCTGTGCGTGTAGGTCTTGGCTCAGACCCTGCTTCATGGTGGACGCTGCCTGCTCCATCTCCCAACCTTCCCTAATGGTCCGCAGGTCTGGGCTCTTGCCCTCGTTTCTTGGAAGGAAGCAGACAGTCCCTGCGCTGGACCAGGGCAGGTCTGTCATGTACTAACGGGAGGGGCCTCTGGGAAGCGCCCCCACGCCCACACCTGAGCCAGCACCAGCTGCCCTTCCCCACTGCACGGGAGCTGTGGGCGGTCTTGCCCTCCATGGCAGTGGGGCTCATGGCTGTCTACAGAAAGCAGCCTTCGGTGGCTGATGCCCTGAGTGAGTTACAGCTGCTGTCTCACCAGACCCCCAGGCAGGCTGGCCCGGGTTCAAAAAGGAGGTATCCATTCAGGTTATTTATTACATTTGCCTGGGGCACACACACGGTTCCTTTCACAGAAAAGAGAGGCCCCCCTGGATGGACCCATCAAAGAGGTGGCCACCATGCACGCGGCCCTGCAGCAGGCCACAGGGCTCAAGCTCACCCTGGTCTCCAGTGAGTTGAAGGGTGGCGCGGCATGGTCTTCATCACACACAGACAGTGAAGGGGACAGTGGTGTTCAGGGCACAGGGCGGCACCACTGTGGCCTCTCAGCTCTCTGTGTTGGGCTGAGACTAGCAGGGACACATGGGCCACTCTCCTAAATGCAGAGGACAGCAGCTGTGCACGTGTGCTGGAGTCTTGTGCAGGAGCCCTGGGGAGACCCCACCCCGGAGGTCTTTCAGAGCCCGAGGGAGACCCCATTCCGGAGGCCTTCCAAAGCCTGAGGTGCTGAGGCTGCATGACCCATGGAGCCCACCCCGGTCAGAGCAGTTGCCACTCACAGCCAGTCCCCCACTCCCTATGTGTCACCAAAGCCTCTCTCCTTCCCCATCTGGGCTGCACCGGCCCCACCCCGCCCAGGAAAATGACCTAAGGAAGCCACCTGTGCTGTGAGCAGACCGGGCCCTGAGGCATCATGGCTGAGGTGGCAGCAGAGTTGGCTTTAGCCTGGGGGCAGTGGGGTCTTACTTGGAAGGGAAAGCACAGTCATTGACTAATTTCTGTGTGTCACTCACATGGGTGGTGGGTGAGGGTCTGGGCTGGGTCTGAGGTGACAGTTCTGGGCTTGCGTCTCAGGAGGGGCCTCCGTCTGACAGGCCCAGCACTTGCAAGCAGGAACTGCAGGAGGGTCCAGGTCTGGAAGGGGCCTGGGTCCTGCACAGCAACAGCCACCGTGAACTCGGCTCAGGGGCCCTGGAAGCCGGTGCCCACCAGTACTGTCTCCCAGGGAGCTGTCGTAAACGTCAGAGCTCTCTCTCCAGGTTTGGGGCCCACTGTCACCTTCTCTCCCAGGTTAGGACGGGTGAGGGGCTAAGGTCAACACCATGGCTTTGAACCTGCCAGACCTTGAACCTACTCCCTGGAGACCCCGACGGAAGGAGCTCCCAGGTGCACCTCGGGCAGGCATGAGGTGTGGGACTGTCTGTCACCTCCCAGGTTGATGTCAGAGCCGGCTCCACACCTGTCCCAGGTGAGCCTGTGGAGCGTGCTGGCTGCGGAGGTGGGGGCAGCATCCGGTGGGCAGGAAGGGCCAAGGGCCATGTGGCAGTGGGTGGGTGGGGGCTGAGCTACCTGAGGCTGGCAGTGTAGATGGTGCTGCTGGGTAGATGGTGCCTACACCACAGACTCCTGTGGGGGCGGGGCCTCCCTGAGCAGGTCCAGAGCCAGGCAGTTCCTGGACCTGCTGCTGGGGAGCGTGGCCCTGGTCTCGCAGGGGCATGCCAGCCTGAGGTCCAGGGTGCAGTGGAAGGTGTGGCAGAGTGAGGCAGGCTCTGGGTGCAGGGCCAGCTGGTGCAGACGCGTACCGTCCAGGCTGCAGCTATGTTGCTCCTCACTGGCCCCGGCTTTCATCTCTCGGATCTGCAGAGAGAAGCCATGGGGTGAAGCCTGCAGCGCCCTCCCGCTCCCGCCACTGCAGACGGCAGCCACACTGCTTGTGGCCACAGAGCCGCCCTCCCTGCCAACACCTGCCCTGCACTGCTGTGCACTGCCGCCTGCCCTGGACGGGCTCCCCCGGCACACACTGGCCCCAGCCCTACCTGCCGACCTCTCGGGGGTGCTGGTTCCAGGGGCCAGTCCCTCCCCTGCCTCTCATCAGCATAGCAGCCCACACTGCCTCAGTTTCCCTAATGAGACATCTGTGTCCGTCCCTCAGGCCTGCCCGTGGCCCTTTCAAGAGAGGCTTGGCATTTTCTTCTGGTGCATTTTGGGAGCCCCCACCTTGCCCAGCTTCTTTCTCGGGGCTGTTTTCTGCCTTGTAGCTCAGTGGACCTGGACTCCAAATTTTGTGTAATTTAGGATCAGGTCTGACTGTGGCCCTTGAACACCAGCTCTGGGCACCTCAGACATCAAGACCAGCCTCTTATTTTACACGGGAGGAAACTGTCACTGTCCGAGGCCCCGTCCAGGTGGGCATCCAGCGGGCAGCATCATCACCCTTAGGTGACGCCTGCAACCCGAGCTTCTTGGCCACTGTGGCCCCTCAGAGCTGCACCATTGTGCCCCCTGGAGGTGGACAAGGCGCCTGGCAGCAGGCAGCAGTGGGCAGGTGACTTTCATCAATACATCTTTCAAGAGTTAGAGTCCCCGGCCAGTGCACAGGTGGCTTTGGGTGGCTGTCTCCTCTGAGGAGTGGCTGACCCTGGCTTGGGCTCGCCTCCACTGGGATGGTTCTGCACTCGCCAGGACCTGCAGCCTCCCTCCTTCCTCCAGTGCCCAGCCCTACCCTCTTTCGATCCAGCATCCGATAACTAATCAGCCACAGCTGACTTTCTCTGTCTTTCCAGGGGGATCCTGGACAGAGCTGACTGGACAGGGCCTCGCCCTACTGTGGTGGAGCCCGGGGTGTTGGGTGGGGATTGGGTAGGGCAACTTAGAGCCCAGCTGGGAACCCTGAGCCCGCCAGTCCCCACCTGGGCATGCAGGAGACACTGGCTCTGCCTCTCCAGCTCCTTTGGGAGGACCCTAAGGCCTGGGGGCTCTAGGGGAGTAGAGGAGCCCGGAGCAGCCTTGCACACTGGACCAGGCCCTGGTGGAGGAGGTAGATGGAGGGGCGGGGCAGCCAGTGGATGGAGGGGGCGGAGGCAGCCAGTGGAAGAAGGGG